TGTAGCAGTGCACCACCGGGCTGGCCCATGGTATATATTTCATATTAGATATTGTATTTGTCATCTCTACATTTGGGTCTTTTTAATATCTTCCATCTCTCTCCTTGACATTGCATGTCCATATTCAACATATGGAATACAGTAATAATAACTATTCTAATTTCCTGTGTACTAAATATCATCTATATCATTTATGAATCAGTTTCAAGTCATTGTTTTTTTGTCCTCCTTATGGGTCATAAATTCTGCTTTTTTGAATGCTTGGTAATTATTGATTGGATACCAAACATTATGAATTTTACCTTTTTATGGTTTCTGGATATTTTAATATTCTTTTGTATGTTTTTGAGCTTTGTTCTAGGACTTAGTTATGTTACTTAAAAAGAGTCTGATCTTCTTTTTTTTTTTTGTCTTTTGTCTTTTTCCGTGTCCGGCAACAGATCGCAACCCTCAGTGTTGCCCCCGTACCGGACCGGGGACCGGCAACGGGATTGCAACCCTCAGTGTTGCTCCCGCGCCTCGCTCAGCCAGTGAGCGGGAACCGGTCTGTATGTGGGATCCGAACCCTCGGGCAGGAGCGCCGCCGCGCTGGTTGTTTGTTTTGCGTGTGGTTTTGATAACCATAAGTGGATGACTTACTCTTATATTGTGTGTATCTTGTCTTCTCATACCGTAAAATAACAATCCCTCTATGGGATAGGAATTCAGTGAGTAATAATATTTTGTTAGATTTTACTATTTGTTACATCCCACATTATTAAAAGTTAATTTTTAAGTTAGTTTTGTCACTTGGTATTTTTTATACTGAATTTTTCCATAACTTTTCCCAGAAGAACTAACAAACCAAAATCTAAATCTTTTTTCAGCCAGGAACCATGATTGAATGGGGCAATTACTGGTGAGTTTATTACTGAATGGTAAGTTTGTAAGTCTTTCATCTTTTGGTTTTTTTGGTGGCTAGCTGGTACAGGGATCGAACCCTGGAGCATGGTGTTATGAGCACCATGCTCTGACCAACTGAGCTAACTGGCCAGCTGAGTTTATAAATCCAGCTGAGCTTCCAAGTCTTATTAATAGACTTATTATCTTAGGCCATGGTATAAATTCTAGGAAAAAAATCTGAGGATAATTTCACACTAGACTATTGTTTTGTTTGATGTTTTCATTATGAAATTTTTCATTCATGCAAAACTTGAGAGAATAATACGATGGATCCTCCTTCCATACCCATTACTCACCTTCAATAATTATCAACACATGGCCAATCTTATTTAGATCTAACTAACTCCCTTGTAGTGGATTGAATTATGTCCCCTAAAATTCATTGAAGGTTGAATTGTGTCCCCCAAGTTTTAGGTATTAGAAACTTAGCACCCACTGTGACTGTTAAGAGGATGGGAAATCCTATTATGGTAATTGAAAGGTGGAGCCTTGAAGAGCTGGTTGGATTGCAGGACTGTGCAGTAGTGAATGGGTTAATAATGGTGGTCAGGAGTGTGATTCTGAGGGCTTTAAAAGAAGAGGAGAGTCTGTCTCTGTCTCTGCTCTCTGCTTCCACCATCTTGCAGTGTGAGGGGTCACTGTCTCCGCCACCAGATGTATTCCTTGGACTTTGGAATTCCCAGCCTCAGAAATTGTAAGCAATAATTTTTTTTTTCTTAAAAATTACCCAGTTCCAGGGTCCGGCCCGGTGGCGCACTGCTACAGTGCGCCTCTTGGGAGTGTGGCAGCGCTCCCGCCGAGGGTTCGGATCCCACATAGAGACCGGTTCCCGCTCACTGGCTGAGCGAGGTGCGGGCGCAACACTGAGGGTTGCGATCCCGTTGGCGGTCCTGGTCCGGTACGGGCACGACACTGAGGGTTGCGATCTGTTGCCGGACACGAAAAAAGACAAAAAGGAAAAAAAAAAAAATTACCCAGTTCCAAATATTTTGTTATAAGCAACAGAAACAGACTAATACATCCCCCAACCAAGATTATTCAATCCTTGACGATACACTGTTTCATCTATAAATATTTCAGGGGCCAGCCCGTGGCTCACTTGGGAGAATGCGGTGCTGATAACACCAAGGCCCCGGGTTTGGATCCCATATAGGGATGGCTGGTTCACTCACTGGCTGAGCCTGGTGCTGACAACACCAAGTCAAGGGTTAAGATCCCCTTACCGGTCATCTTTTAAAAAAATATATATATATATATAAATATTTCAGTATATATCTGTAAAAGATAAGGACTCTCTTAAAAAAAAAAAAAAGCCACCAGTAATTCATGAGGTTATTTTATATACTTCTTAGATGTTATCTTTTCTGAAATATTGCTTTTGTTCTATAAACAGAGCACCTCGGTAATATGGTTGCTTCTTTTCCTTCTTGGTTTGAGTAGCAGAATACCAATTTTTCCCCAAATTGATCTATATGTTCAACACAATACCTATCAAAATTCCAGCAGGCATTGGTAATGCAAAGGACCCAAAATTGCCAAAACAACCTCGAAAAAGATAAACAGAGTTGGAGGACTGACTACAAAGCTAGAGTAGTCAAAATAGTATAGTCCTGGCATAAGGATAGGCATACAGATCAGTGGAGTCAAATTAAGAGTGTAGAAATCAGCCCTTACATTTATAAGCAATTGATTTTTGAAAATGTGCCAAGAATTCAGTGGGGAAAGGATAGTCTTTTCAACAAAGGATCCTGGGACTACTGGATATCCTTGCAAGAAGATTAATTTGTACCCCTACCTCATATTATATATAAAAATTAACTCAAAATAATCATAGACATAAATGTAAGAGCTAGAATATAAAACTTTTAGAAGAAAACATAGGAGAAAATGTTTGTGACCTAAGGTTAGGCAAAGAGGTTTTACATATAGCACAAAAGTATGATCCACAAAAGAAAATAAAATTGATGAATTAAAATTCATCAAAATTAAAAAACTCCTTCAAAGGACATCATTTAAAAAATTTAAATGGTAACTCATAGACTTAGGGAAAATGTTTGCAAATCTGACAAGCAACTTGTATCCAGAATATGTAAAGAATTCTTACAGCTTAAGAATACAAACAACCCAATTAAAAAATGGGCAAAGGACTTGAATAGACAATGTCAAATGGCTGACGAGCATATGAAAAAATGCTCAACCTCTCTAATCATAAGAGAAATGCAAATCAAAACCTCAATAAGATAATGCCTCACACCCATTAGGATGGCCACTATCAAAAGAACAGATCAAGGATGCAGAAAAATTGGAACACTTGCACACTGCTGTTGGGAATATGAAATGGTGCAGCCGTTATGGAAAACTGGAGGCTCCTCGAAAAAATTAAAAATGGAATTACAGTACGATCCAGCAGCCCCACTTTTGGGTATATATCCAAAAGAATTCAAAGCAGGATTCTGAAAAGATGTTTGCACACCCATGTTCATCGCAGCGTTATTCACAGTAGCCAAGAGGTGGAAGGACCCAAATGTGCATTGGCAAATGAATGAATAAATACATAGACTATTATGCATCCTTAAAAAGAAAGAAGTTCTAGCCTGCTGGGGTGGAACCTGGTACAAAAAAAATAAACAAAAAATAATAATAAAAATTTTTTTTAAAAAAGGAAGTTCTGTTGTATGCTGCAGCGTGGATGAACCTTGAAGACATCGTGCTAAGTAAAATAAACCAGTCACAAAAGGATAGCGCATGATTCCACTTATATGAGTTATCCAACACAATCAAAATCATAGAAAATGGAAAGATGGTTATCAGGGGCTAGGCGGGGGGCAAGGGAGAGGGAGTTGGTGTTTAATGGGTATACAGTTTCAGTTTTGCAAAATAAAAAAGTTCTGGAGATCTGTTACATAATAATGTGAATATACTTGATGCTACTGAACTGTACACTTAAAAATGGTTGACAGTAAATTTAATATTATTGTTTTTTATCACAATAAAAAATGAGTAAATAAAATTGTTTTAAATAAAATTAATTTTTTTTTTGTCTTTTTTGTGACCAGTAAGGGGATCGCAACCCTTGCCTTGGTGTTGCCCGCACTGCACTCAGCCAGTGAGCGCACCGGCCATCCCTATATAGGATCTGAACCCACGGCGGGAGCGCCCCCGCGCTCCCAGCGTCGCACTCTCCCGAGTGCGCCACGGGGCCGGCCCTAAATAAAATTAATTTTTAAAAATTTTTGTAAATGGGAAAAGGATTTGAATAGACATTTCACCAAAGAAGATTTCATGTGCCTAATAGGTACATGAAAAGATACTCAACATCCTTAGTCATTATGGAGATAAAAGGTAAAACTACAATGAGATACCACTTCATACCCACTGGGATGGCTGTAACTAAAATGACAGATAATAACCCCTGTTGGTGTGCTTGTGGAAAAATTGGAACCTTTATGTATTGCTGATGGTAATGTAAAATGGTACAGATACTTCAGAAAATAGTCTAGCAGTTCCTGAAAATGCTAAACATGGAGTTATATATGACCCAGCAACTCTGCTCCTACTTTTCTATCCAAAAGAAATGAAAGCATACATCCACACAAACGTTTATATACAAGTATTTTTTGTTGGTTTGGTTTGGTTTGGAGGGTTTGTGTTTTGTTATGGTTTTTTTGGCAGTTGACTGGCTGGTGTGGGGATCGAACCTTTGACCTTGGTATTATCAGCACCTTGCTCTAAACAAATGAGCTAATAGGCCAGCCTATGAATGTTTATAGCAGTATTTTTCATAATAGCCAAAAAGTGGAAACAACCCAAATGCCCGTCAGCTGAGGGTGGGATTTAGCCTGAGGGCAATAGTTTGCTGGCCCTGATTTAAACGACAAAGCTTGGGGGATGGGGGGAAGCTTATAACACCAAGGTCAAGAATTCCAAGGATCCCTGTACCAGGCAGCTGACAATAAAAAACAAACAAAAAAGCAATGATAAATCTATTTATTTCCTCCCAGCAGTTACCTAATGTTGAACACAAGAAGCACACTCATTACACAAGTAATAAAATGCCAGCTTTCACCGTTATGATTTAATACTGTTTTTTTGAAATCCTATTATAATAGAAAAAACAGAAACAAAATATATAACAATATAAAGCCTCAATAATTAAGATAAGAATAGATTATTGGCTGTTGGTCAGTGCCTGGAATAGGAAATGGAAAGAAAAAAACCAAAATGATATTTAGGGTTTGATGGTGTTCTTTTCTTTTTTTCCAGTCTCCAGACTTTCTGCAATTTGGTATTTCTTTGGTAGTTAAGAATATTTTTAATTCTGAAACATTGGGATAGTTTCCTAAAATAATTTGAAGTATAAAAGGATATCTAATTCAACAAAAGATTTTGAGCATTTTTTCCTTGAAATATATCCATGCCTTAATTTTTTTCTGTTTTTCTTTTGGGGAGGAGGTGTCTGTATATGTCTTTGAGGTAGTTACGTTAACTCTTAACATTTTGTTTGGAAACTTGCTGTGTCCGTTTCCTAAGCTGGCATTTCATGGTATCATTCTCCCACAATGTGGGAGGCCATGTGTAGTTGGGAAATAGCCTCGGGTGTGGGTTACTTGACGGATCCAACCCTTAGTTTCTTTATCTTTAAATGAGAACTGTGAAAAAAAATTAAAAGAACAACAACAACAAAAAACACAACCGAGAACCTATTGCTTTTACTAACTTTCAACTTTTATATACAGTCATGCATCATTTAATGATGGGGATATGTTCTGTACATCACTATGGGATTTCATCATTGTGTGAACATCATAGATTTAGTCACACAAATCTACATTATATAGCCTACTACACACCTAGTCTGTAGGGTGTAGCCTATGGCTCCTAGGCCAAAACCTGGACAGCATGTTTCTGTACTAAATACTGTAGACAACTGTAACACAATGTAAGTAAGTATGCATCTAAACATAGAAAAGGTACAGTAAAGGGGCCGGACCGGTGGCGCACTGCTGTAGTGCGCCGCTTGGGAAGCGCGGTGGCGCTCCCGCCGAGGGTTCGGATCCCACATACAGACTGGTTCCCGCTCACTGGCTGAGCGAGGCGCGGGAGCAACACCGAGGGTTGCGATCCCGTTGCCGGTCCCGGTCCGGTACAGGGGCGACACTGAGGGTTGCAATCCGTTGCCGGACACGAAAAAAAGACAGAAAAAAAAAAAAAAAGAAAAGGT